ATTTCATATTGAATATTTTTAGTAGATTGTCTCACGAAATAAAAGAGAAGACACAACAGACTGTAGTTGTGAGATTGTGATAAATTTGACAATAGAAGAAAAATAAAGTAAGAAAAACTTAGATTCATATCGAATTATAATGATTATTGACATTTTTTGACAATGTTTTGACTAAAGATACATAAAATCAGCCGAGTTTTCTTTAAGGGGACCCCTCCCCATCCGAAAGACGATTTTTCTTAGAAAATTCGATTTTCCAAAAAGCGCATAATCTTGTAGTCTTGAGTGTCCTCTTTCAGAATATGTATAAATAATATATAAATGGAAGATATTCAACCCCATTTTGGTGGGTTACTTGAAAGCCATATATGAAAATAGACTGTTTGAATGATTTTTTCTTAAATATCGAGAAGTACGTATTATCGTTTCTTCGTATTTCTTGGCATTCTAAACTAATCTCCATATCGAGTAATTATGCCCGTAACTTGTTTTGGTGGTTTTACAAAGGTTTTGTAGTTTCAAAACAGTGAAAATTCGGGAAAAGGTGGCGCTACAGTATACTCGAGTTCGTAAATTTGTTTTATTTTTTGTCGCAAATACCATGAAATGAAAGAATGTTTGGTGAGCTTTCCAACGATGTGTAACATACTGCAAATTTCTACACAGACACACTGCAAATCACTTCACAATGTTGTTATTCGTTTTTCTCAGCTTCGCTTTTTTAACGTTTGCTGATCAATCTGGAACATTTTCCCCGTCCACCTTTTAATGAATATTGCTGATTTCATTTTGGCTTGTATTTAATTGTTCAGTATTTTATTATGAATGTTCAGTGAATTTTTTATCGCATGTTCAGTAAAAAATTGTTTTTTGTTCAGTAAATAATTCAAGAAGTTCAGTAAACAATTCAAAAAGTTCAGTTTTTAATTTAAAAATATTCAGCATTTAATTAATTTTTGTACAGTACTTAATCTATTTTTGTTCGATTTTTTAATAATTTATTTCAGTAAAAAAAGTGTAATTACAATACAACAGAAGGGTGTCGGTTTGGGTGAAGAAGGTATCAAAATTTCACACCCACACCAACACTCAGCCACACCCACATCCTGCTTAGCAAAAGTGACATTTTTTACTTAGCTTTTAAATAGTAGCCTTTTTAAATCAAATTAGTAATAACAGTTTTGGTAAATCAAAATTCAACTTATTTAGAAAAAACGAGCTATTTATATAGGGATAGGCAGAGGTACAAACAATGAGACGATATTGAGAATATTCTCCTCCTTTGTTAAATTGAGAACAAGGAGAATGCAATATATTCATCTTCATATGTAACTAAAATATCGAACAACTATAATAAAATATAAAAAGTAGGTGAAGAAAAGATAACATCGATAAGTAGGGCAACGTATCTATACGATTATTGAGGGATACTAGGTACCCATCTAAAAATATTTGGCAAAAAATCGGATTAAAATCGATTAAATTGGCACGATTTTAATTTGATTTGAATCTGATTTTTCTAGTCACAAGGACAGATTTCTCTGATACTTTGGATTTTTCAAATCAATTTTAATCGATTAAAAATCAATAATCAATTAAAATCGGATAATAACTTTTATTCGATTAAAATTGATTTGAAAAAATCTAAAGAATCAGAGAAATCTGCCCTTGTGACTAGAAAAATCAGATTAAAATCGTGCCATCTTAATCAATTTTAATTCGATTTTTTGCCAAATTTTGTTACATTGCTAACATAGTATCTGTTGACTGATGATGTCATCGCCAGTCAATGTGGACAACCGTTCTTCTATTTACAGCAAAATATTTTCATCGACAAAATAAAAGTGATTACTGATAAAAAATACAGGGGTTGTCAAAATTATAGACCCCCCTCATATGTACATAGAAAAATGTTTATTTTATTACAATAAGGAATGATATTGATCTGCTAGGTGCACATCTACGTGAGACTAATTACGACTATCTGATACTCTAGCATCTCTCTTTTATCTCTTGTTCTTTGGAGAAAAAAATTGGAGAAAACTGGAAAATGCCTGTAACATAATTATAGACCCCCCNGGAGAAAATTGCTTTGCAAATGCCCCAAATCGGAGAAAATATCGTAGTAAATTCCCCAAAATCGGAGAAAGTACCAGCCAAAATTTTCTGGAGCAGGAGGGGGGTGACCCCCCTATCCTCCCCCCGGTCGCGCCGCCCCTGTACATATTGCACAAATATAAATATTATCGATAATGTTAATAAGTGGTTCTGTAATGTGCACGTCGGTGCTTCATCGTTAGTTGCAGTTGTTTTGCATATATATTTACACACGACAAAGTGATAGACATTGATTTCATAGGCAGTTAAATTAAAACATAACTATATACCTCTATTGACATGCATTCCTCTGTTTTTTTTTCAATAATATTCATTTATTTTTGGAAAAAGAACCTGTTAAATTCATACATAAAGGGTGTGTCATAAGTTCTGATCCCATCCGTACTTTGATTATACTTTTTTTTCTTTTTGATCTTTAAAGCTGATTGTTTTTCCAAAAGATGCGCTGTGAAATTCTCTAGAAAGTCATAATCGAACTTGTTTCTGTAGAAAGGTAAGAAAAGAAATTAAATGAAGATTATCTAACACATAAAAAATACCCAACTATCGAAGCTAACGGGCGTCCCATAATCAATGATCAGTGTTTGTATCGCTTTTTTTATCATCTAGTACGTTTATTTTAAAAGCAAAGCATACTATAAGATGCAGTGCAAAGCGCTCTACAAGTTGCATTAAAAACTTATTTGATATATGTACTCTTAGTTTTCAATATGGGTAAATATCTGTGCGAGCAATTTTCGACGCTGCGAATAAGATGATTTATTTGTCGCACAGAATTTTACTTATTTTAAAAACAAAAGGTGCATCTGTATATAATAAATTGTTTTTGGTAAATTGTAGAGCTTTTCACGCTGCATCTTATGGTATACTTCGCTTATAAAATAAACGTACTAAATGATAAAAAGAGAGACAGAAACACTGGCCATTGATTATGGGACACTCGTTAGCTTCGATAGTTGGGTATTTTTTATGTGTTGGATAATCTTCATTTAATTTTTTTTGTTGCCTTTCTACAGAAATAAGTTTGATTATGATTTTGTAGAGAATTTCACAGCGCATCTTTCGGAAAAACAATCAGCTTTAAAGATCAAAAATAAAAAAAGTTCTAGTAAAAATACGGATGGGATCAAAACTTATGACACACCCTTTATTCACCAAGAAATGTTCAAAAAAAATTTGCTGTTTGTTTTGCTTTCTAGCTTATGAAAGGCTTTACAATTATGGTTGGTGACTTTCTCGATTCTGTTTCGTTACTCCATATAAAACAGTTTGTATGAATGGATAGAAAAGTTGGAGTTAACTATGAGGTTGACTCGTTTTCTCATTAGAGGTGAACTGAAATTAACGTAGATCTGAAACGGAGTTACCTCTCTCTTTAAAAGATTATGACATCAATCAAGGATTTCCACGATAGTTAGCTGATAATTAACTGTGTTTGGAAATGATATCTGTTTCCAAATTAAAATACGATAATTATCTAGATATGTTTGAAAAATAACCTTTTTTCTAGATTGTATGTTATATAGAAAATCTATTTACTAAAATACAAGTGTTGGATTTGTCTTCAAAATATGTTTTTAAGTAATATTAATTGTTCAAATTGAAGATGCAATAATGGACAGATATTATGTTCATTTTGATATAATATCCTTGTGTTTTTGTTTTATTCAAGTTTATTTAAACGTTTAAAAAGAAAATATAAATCAGCAATAGCAACAATGAATGCACAGAATAGTCCACATGATATTTGTAAAACAAAATTTTTTGTACCAGTTGAATATTCAATTGATTTATAACCAAATACAAATGCTGCACCAATAGTTAAAAAAACATTTGCAACAGTTATTAGTTGTCCTTGTACAGATTTCATATCAGGCATAATTGAATCTTGAATTTTATTTGAATATATTTTACTTAAATTAACATTTTTTGTCATTTCATCATATTCCCGATTAGCTTGTTCAGCTTTTAATCTTTCAATACGTTCATTTAATTCAGGATTTCGTTCTGGTTCAATATAAGCTGGTACAAATAAATTACAACCAGCTAATATTTCATGAAGATAATTTTCCTTGTCTGATAATTTATATGCATCAATTAAAATTGTAGCTGGAATATATTTTGTTATTTTTGATTGAAGAATATTTTCAATTGGTTTATAAGTATTTGAATTTTTATTATCAATTTTTTTTAAAACATTTTCTAAGAATTTTTCAATGAAAGATGTTCGTTCGATTTGAACAAGATTCATATTTTAATTATGAATAAATAATTGAAAACCAATCCAACTAAGACCGTAAAGTGTAAGAGCAATAATAATTGTTGACGGAATAAGAAGAAAATAATAAATAAAAATACTAGAAAATATTATCATTGAATAAATATATGGTTTAATGATATCGAAATTTCACAGTAAGTTTAGTTCTTTTTGTTTTTTCTTTATTTTCTCGAGTCAATGTCACATGACTCATGATTATTTCTGATTGGATTTTGATAAAAATGAGTCATAAATTCGTGTGGTAATTATTTGATTTGTTGGTTTACAAGAAAAGAAGAAAAAAAAAAAACATAAAGATTGAACTCTTTGTTCGTCTAGATCATTTCTAAGGTTAAACATGTCGAATAAAGTTGATTTACAACGTAAATTAAAAGAAATTGGTTATGAAATTGGACTTTTTGCATCAAAAGATACATTATCAAATGTAATACGTCTTCATTCATTGGTAAGAAAATGTATTTCTCTCTGTTTTTCTCTTTATTTTTATAGTTTTTATTCATTAGGCTTTACAAAGTAAAGGTGTTAATGTTGCAAAATTAAATGATCTGGATCTTCGTAAGAGTCTAACTGAAAATGGTCTGTCTGTTGGACCTGTAACAAGTAAGAAACAAAAATTAATTTTTCGTTTTATTAAAGATTTATTAATCTTTTTAGATCATACGCGATCGATTTATCAACGTAAATTACTTGAAATATTAACAAATGAAACAAGTGAAGGTAAAAATGAATTATTTATAACTTTTTGAGAAAAAAAAGAACATTTCATTTGTGTTATTGTTTTAAAGGAAACGAAGATGAAATCGAAGCCGAAATACCAATATCAATAACACCACCACGTACTACACGCAGTTCAATAGCTCGGTAAATATACACATCAGGAACGATTCAAGGAGAGACAGCTGCCTCCTCCTTGAACTTTATATATTCTATACGCTAAGTATCTCTATATTTCTATGAAGTTTACAGGGATAAAGATTTTTGATTGATGGAGTTAAATGAGACATCTCTGATGTCTTCATGGTCTTCCTTCATCAAACTGCATTCCATTTACAGAAGTCTGAAGAAGTATTTTTCTCTTGTTTCTACTGTGTGACATTTTGCATTCTTCTATAGATTTCTTGTAGTTTGATAACAGAACGTCTTGTTTTGTTCAGAATCCTTTGCGATATCAAATATATTTTTCCAAAAACTTCGAATAAAAGTCAGATATCTGGTTACGGGGATCTTAATTTTTCGTCAATTCTTACCTAAATTGTTTTGCTGAAGTTTTTGAAACTATCAATCCTAATAGAAAATTTCTACAGCTTCTCTCAACTTTTGTCAGCCACTACGCATTCTTTACACAGTGTTATGACTTGTATCAAATATTCTTGTCACACATCTAATGAGCGTTTATGGAGTTTAACATTGAAATAATCGGCAGTTGTACTTACGGTTCATCGGTGCTTGGTCTATCGATATTTAATAAGTATGAGACTCAGTAAAAAATCTACGTAATTCATGTTCGATTTCTTGAATAGACTAGTTATGATGTATGTATGTTCCATTATTCTGTTGATATCAAACAAATCATCGGCAACTTCTCAAAATTGAAAAAATCGAAAATTAGAATTTCTTGTATGAACTTTTTGTTAGTTGTTTTCGTTTCCATAAAACGCAGCATGTATTTGAACAATTGGATAATAGAAAATTCATTATGAAAACTGTCAGTAACTTATTCCTATCCGGTATCCCATTCTAAACTTCCTGAAATCACACCTGAACAATATGATGTCTTTTCAAATTTTTTTAGAACTGCAGACAATGATATAACATCATCACCTGGACGTTTATATACACAAGATTTACAAGAACCACGTATAGCATTAACACGTGTTGATATTGAGGATAAAAATAAACATAATTTATCATCTCATTATCCAAATGTATCAAGTACAAAACCAAAATCTGAACAAACAGTAACACATTCGTATTCACCACAACGTTCATCAACAAAAACGGAATCCCGTCATAGTACAATGTCATATGGTTTAAGAAATCCATATGATTTTCAAAATGATGAACCAGTTATAATTCGACATGAACATAAAGCAACACCATTTCGTACAACAAATATTTCATCAGGTGAAACATTTTCAACAAATACAAATCGTTATGCAAAACAATCAGATATACAAACAACAGCAACACGAAATGATTTAAATGAAATTCGTTCACGAATTTTAACAAATACAAATGAAGAAAAAGAAATTCAATTTAGAAAAAATCCAACACCAAAAAAAGGCACGTTTATTAATCAATCGGAAGATAAAACATTGTCAAGTAATAATGAAAAACTCGATGTTACTGTCAAAAGTAAATATAATTTCATGATATCTTCTTACTAAATCTTTTTTTCGTTTAGATGGTGGAACATTTCTTTATGGTGGTATTACAATTGCTGTTGCATTAATCGTCTTTGTACTTTATCTATTGTTGGAGAAGTGACATTCATTCTTTTTTCTTGCCTTTGTCATAGTTAGGAAAACATCTTTCTTTTTTTTTTTTTTTTACTAAATTGTCTTTCTTGCTCTCGTTAATCAGAAACTTCTATAAATATGTTTATGTCTTGTGATTAGTGATCTGATAGTTAAATCAAAGTGCTCGATTATATGATTCTACAGGTCTCTAACGATGTATTGACTATTTTTCTTTCTTTTCTTGTATTTGATAATGTGTGGGAGGGTTATTTTTTTTGTATTTGAAGAATAAAATTAAAAAAAAAAGAAATACGAAATAGCTTTACAACGATGTTCTATAGGATGACCCATAAATAAGTAGACAACACTTGGAATCGTTAAAAAAAATTTCGACCAGTTTCAAGCATAAGCGAAACGATGAAAAAAGGGCTCAGTATTTTAAGTCTACTTGAATTAATCGGACTAGTTTCTTGCTTGGTGATGGACGACTTTGAAATTTTTATTAAGAAAGAACCCATCAATAGATACTGCTTTGCACTAGCATTTTCAATCTCAATAAAGACAAATGCAAATTAAAATAACTGCATGAAAAATAAATAGCTTAAGCTCTGTTCTTTCAGAAACAAGATGATTTTTTATTTGACGTCATAGGTTTCGATGATTTCCATCATCTTATGTTTCAAAAATACCAGTTTTTCAGAAAAACTGACATTGTATTTTGTTTTTTCTCTCTTTATACATTTTTGATGCGCTTCACAGATTTCTTTGTGATGCCATCATTCCATACATTGGATTTTGTTTTTCTTGACAGCGTATGTCAGGATACAGTGCAGTACAGAGTCTTTTTTAATTCTTACTTTTTAAGCGGAGAAAACGGATCACAAATGAAATAAGTTAAACACTGTAAAAATAACTGTCTATTTATAAGTATTTGTATACATAATAAAAACAAAGCTTAATTATAGAAACGCACTCTCTACCGCACTGTAGCTGGCCATGTTTTTTTCAAACAAAAAAAAAGATTAAATATATAGCATCAACAAGGGAAGAGAACTTTAGTTTGCCAAATGAGCTAGTTTTAACTCTTGTACGGTGAATATCTCTCTCAAAAGTCATAGTATAGAGCTAAAAATTTTATCAGATCCTGTTCACCATAGCTTCAACACATTCGTCAAATTTCAGGCGATTTAAATGTATCTGGCGCGAAACCTGTTTTTGACGAGAGAGGGGAGGTCTTAAGGTTACACATTTGAAATTTTGTAGTTTATGTACGACTTTAGAAATAGAGATTCACAAGGCTAGCCTGATTCTGATCGCTTGGATTAATGAAGAAACATAATGTATAATATCCCTTCTCACTCGAAGTTCTATAATTCAAGAAGAGAAATAGTTTATAATCCGATGAACCGATCATTATGTAAAATATCCATATTGAAGGATTACGTGACAGTAAATTCGGCAGTCATAAGTTTCTATGCTTTTTAAGTTGCATGACTCAGAGTAAGAAGATTTGTCACAGACCATCATTTCTCTTCAGCTCAAGACAAAAACTGGGTTTGGTCGCACAGATCTACATTTCTAAGGTAGTACATTTGCTAAAAATTTCAAATGTTTAGTCCTAAGAATGACTGAGATTACCACATGAGTTAACTTTGGTCAATAATATATTTTCTAGTAAACTGAAATTTCGGCAATGTCAAACCTCCCATTAGAATTTCAACAATATTGTCGAATCTTGGCAACTGCTAAAACTCTCGCAGAATTGTGACAATCATAACTATTAGCAGTTATTTTAGAGTATAGGTGTAGGATGTGCGTCTTCTTTTCATCCATACCCTATAGACCTATTATGTAATGTGGGGCAAAACAAAAGAGAAAAACTAGAAAAGAGGCGCATCTGCGAAGATTCAAGTCATGTTACAGTAGTTCAATAATACAATCTTAACTTTATTAAGTTTTCAGTAATTGAGTACGATTCTACCTACTGTGAATATTGTCAAAACTCCAGTGGAAAATGAGCAATAAAATATTCAGCAACGATAATTATAATCGTAATTCGAAAAAAATTCGGTCATTGCGAAAACTCGACAATATTGGCGAAACTCAGAATGCGAAATTCTATAGAACTTATTTTCTCGTTAAGATCAATAGTGCTAGTTCTACAATATATCTATTTAACAGTTTTCATATGAATAAAAACTTCGACGCACTCTCTATCATCGGAGAAAAATGATCAAGACATATTGATTAAGGTAGACTGAAGATTCGGAATTCTCTTTTCCGTCTAGTTATTTATAGGTCTATATTTAAAATAATTTTTTTTTCTTTAGAAAACTTTTATTACTTTAAAATTTATAAATATCTAATAATAGTAGAAATAGTACTAAGTTTTTAATGTTGCGAATTTTCTTATAACGCTTTCTTTTCATCACAATAAAAATGCTAGATATAACAGTTAGCATTATATATATATCAGAGATGTCCATCGCGGTTGAAAACTGACCGCTGCCACGC